GAGCGAGGGGGGTTGAACCAGATGACCCCCAGAGGTCCCTTCCAACCTCAGTCATTCTGTGATTTGTAGCAAGTTATTCCACATTTTTGCTTTTAATAACTAAGAACTTTTGCAGCATTTTTTATTTAGCTACAACCTCATCTTCTATTAAAGATCTGTTCCTTTGATTCCAGAAAACTTTTTGGAGATGAAGAATGCAGGTCTTTCAGTTGAATATCCTACTATATGGGGCACAAGCTATCATTTACTTTAAAAAGTTAGGCTTCTAAACAGAAGAGATAGGCATCACTTTCATAATGAGACTTGGTATGGGTACATCCTTTGAGCCCGTGACCCTAGGCTTGTTCTTTCATTTTTTGGTGAAGACAGATGACTGCATGATGACTGTTGCCTTAACTAAGAGGGTAGGAAAGGTGTAAGGTCTTGTATAATTTTCTGTACGCTCTGTTACTTAGTGACAAAATAACTCCATTAGGTGTTCTGTAGATTTCTGTGTAATACAGTCTTCAAGTTTCATCTGAACTAGGAATTCAGACTTTTTAAAATAAATTTTTAGATAGATGACTGTTGCCTTAACTAAGAGGGTAGGAAAGGTGTAAGGTCTTGTATAATTTTCTGTACGCTCTGTTACTTAGTGACAAAATAACTCCATTAGGTGTTCTGTAGATTTCTGTGTAATACAGTCTTCAAGTTTCATCTGAACTAGGAATTCAGACTTTTTAAAATAAATTTTTAGATCTGCATTTTCCTTTTGAAGTTTGTATTTCAAGAGTATTTTGTTTTTATTCAGTAGGATGATGTATTTTAGAAGATTTTTCTTTAGCATACAGATGCACAGACATGATTTTTCTTACACAAAGATTGCAGGTAGCAGATTATATCAAGACCTGTGGCAGAAATGGAAATAGTGGATAGCAATTCATGAATGTACTTATTATTTCAGTGGCACCTACCAAGAATGTTATTGCTTCAGAGATCTGCAGAGTAGCTATGTAGGATTCAATCCACATTTTTATGAAATGCTATTCTGTAGGCTTCCAACTGTGATGTTATATTTGTAAACAGTCCTGTCACCACTCCATTCAGGACTCTGATTTCAGTCAGATCATTACCACAGGTGGAAGTTGTTTACTGCAGTTGAATTTGTATATGGACGCACGTTTGAAGGAGACAGTAAAAGCAATCTTTCCAATAGCTAAAACTCCTTTGAGGTATTTGTCCATCTGTACACTGGCTGTGTACAAATCTGTTAATTTTGGAGTCATGTTAGTAAGGATATGCAATTGTGGAGATAAGAGGAACTGTGAAGGGTGTGAGATGAATTCTGTGTGTTTCAAAGTGCTCTAGCACTTTGTTTCCCAGCCTGAGAGGGCAGAGCAGTTGGAACATCAGATGAGGTACTACTGACTAAAAACTATCCACTTCAGATGCTGGGGCCATGTGTATGCCCCCAGTGTGATAGATGTAGCATATAGGCAGAACTTAAAAGGATATGTGGTTCTTGATATGTAACATTCGTTTTTAGTTGTATAATACCTGAAATAAGACATGTGATTTTGAAAAAGTTAATGGTTTAATGTGATGGTCCAACTTCTGGAGCCGTGATAGCTGTCTGTGCATTTTGAGATCCCTTGGTTTGATTCTTCTCTCGTTAGCATGACAACTTCTTATTTCTATTTCCCTCAATAGTCACCTCCTTTCTGTAGCAGCTGCCCACTCTCACTGGGCTGCTTTCTCTTTTTCCAGTGTAAGCAGATGTTTCTCATTTTCTATTCTCTGTATACTTTCCTCCCTGCTCCAGTGCCCTCCCCAAATAAAAATCTAATTGCTTATTTTCTTTGGTTTTCTGTTAGTCTAGATATTTACTTCACCTGTTCAGATCTTTCTATTTTTTTTTTTTCTTCCTCCCCCCCTGCTCCCTCAGTGGGCTTTTTCCCTTTTTTCTTGTTGGAAATAGGGAATAGTTTTGTCTCTTGGTTGTTGGTTTTTTTTTTCCTCTTTTATAAGTTAATAAGCAAATGAGGTAAAAATTTCTAGAGGTGGTAGGAGGTATCAGAGGTTTTATTGGAAAGTGCAACATTTTCAATAGGGAAGACAAGTAATAAGTATCCTCTGCTTCTTATTGCTGCCAACTACATAAGGATGTGACCTGAATTCTCCTGAAGAAGTATCACGTAAGTTTGCAGTAATTGAGTTTGTTGCATAATTGTATAACTCTGCATACAGTTCCTGCATGAGTTCTTAGAATAAATATGTTCTATGCTTATACATTTTTCCTTAGGGTTGCGATGCCTTAGGTATTGCTGAAACATTGTGCATAACCCCCTCCTGGGTGAAAATTCCAGAAGGAATTGTTTCTTGATTTGAAAGTTGGGAGTTACAATAGTGCGTGTTTAACTGCTGATTTTTTTGTATGTTTGTGTATCTGTGTATTAACTCTGTTGTAAGACTTGTAATGCATAAATACTGCTTTCTAGTGCTGGAAAAGGCAAACATATTTGTGTTTTTTCTGTTTCAGCCCCTATTAGTATCTAGTTCAAGGCTGTCAGGGCAAGTTTAAGTAAATTAATAAATTAAGATAATTTCACTTTTTTAATTGCGACTATTAAGGAAACTATTTTGTTTCCTGTAAAATGATGGTTTGCAAAGTTCCAAGGTAGCCATAAAATACTACTGTATTTTCATTATGATTCAGATGAGTAAGGCATGAAGATGGCATGGAACCTGCGCTACAGATATGCCCAGGTCTTATAGTGGAATCTGCAATTCTAGCATTGATAAGACAGGCAAGTCAAAATGATCTTTTAAGAATGACTGTTTTCAGCACGCAGCCGTTAAGAAATTTGAGAGGTCCGTTAAGGTGTGTAACTGCAGGAGAAAACAGTTGCATGATCCTGAGATCCGTAGCCCCTGACATGCCCTCGGTTCAGGAGGGTGTCTTCTTAAAGCATAACCAGAAAAAAAGTGAAGCTTTAGTGGTAACCTCCTTATTATCTTGTAGCTCAAACATCATTCTGTTCCTTTTGAACACGGAGTATTGAGTTCTCACATTGGTGGTTAAAACCTACTTCTTTTGCTTTCACATGCAGAGTGTGTTGTTTTTCCTGGGACAGAAGAATGCTAACCTTTCTGTTAAAACTGTGCTAAAAGAAATTCAAGGCCAACTGGTTGTTGTGGGAAGGGTGGGGAGAAAGACAAAAGAGGAGAACTGTGGCTTTGTAACCCATTTGCCGGGACCCTGGATATCGGTCCTTCTTCCAAGGGCTGCTTTATGCTCAGTAATTATGCTTTATGCTCATTTTTCAGAAAGCCAGGTTCTTTTCTGCACTGTGGCATGTCCTCAAGAGGAGCATCATGCTGCCTAACAGATGTAGAGTATTAAAAGTGATTTGGGAGATGATTCAAATTTGTGTCTTCACCAGCTCAGAAGGGACTAGAATCCAGTTCCTTCAATCCCTATGTGAGGTCTTTAAGTTCTTATCTCTTTGGTAGTATTCTAGACAAAAAAGCTCAAAGACCTCAGGACGTCATTTAGTGTATGTCCCAATCCTAGGCAAAATTTATTGTGCTTAGAAAATAATTTTTTAAGAATCATAGAATAATTTGGGTAGGAAGAGACCTTTAAAGGTCATGTAGTCCAACCCCCCCTGCAATAAGCAGGGACATCTTCAACTAGATCAGGTTGCTCAGAGCCCATCCAGCCTGACGTAGCTCTCAAAGATCTCTCTGAAAATTTACGGAAGTAATTTCAACTTAGGGAAATCCTCCTGATAATTCATGTTACATCTAGTTTTGTCAAGAATCATCAATGCGTCAGAAATTTTAATCCTGTATCTTCTTGACAAGACGTCTCACCTATATCCATCTCTTTCTGAAGTCAGTAGCATATACTTTTATTACAACATATTTTCTACTCTCAAATATTTGAAGTGTGTATAACTTAATTTGGAACAATCACACTGTAAAAGCTTGGAAACTAATTTCATTTGTGAAATAGAGAATTAGATAAACAATAGTAATACACTGTCTGAATAACACTTGACGGTGAAGATTTGTGCTAGGGTGGGAAAAAAAAAGAAAGGAAAAAAAAGGAATAAGATAAAAAAGGACAAACAGATTGGATTTAAGGAAAGATTTGTGTGGTTTTGGTCTTTTTTTGTTTGTTTGCATAATAATTGGAATGGTTCCTACTAATACATTATCAAGCCTATGCTGTTATTTTAAGTGAAATTCTTATGACAATGTGTGAATAATGAGAAATAAATTCAACTTACATAATGCATTTGGAAGATCCTATTTGTATGAATTATTTTCTGAAAAGAAAGAATAAGCCAAAAATTCCAGCAATGTTAATGTAAATTTATACAATCACTTTGTCTGTGGTATTTTATAATAAGGTGATTACATCATATATTTAAAAATACATCTTTTTGGAGGAGATAAGGAAAATAGGTATATATTCATTTATGTTCCAAGGTAAAGTTAATTTTTTCATGAGGCAGTGGTCTTTGATAATTTTTGTGCGTATATTTAGACAAAAGTGGTCACAGAAATACTTAAATTTTGGGTTGGTTCTTTATCACTCAGTGTTGAGACATATTGACATATCTTCTTTAAGATTTGTTATTGTTAAAATCCAACTCAGAATATTAACCTGGCCAGGCTGACTGAAGTATGTTGCATGGTATTTTAAGTATGACTTTCATGACCTCATACCATTTATACAATTAACATTAGCATCTTTATTTAGTTTATATATATATATATAAAAAATCTTGTTCTAGGAGGTGAACATGCTGACAAATATGTCTGAAGAGCAAAAATTTTGAGAATACAAGCAATAAATGCAAAACCTCTGTATATTATTGTCTGTATGTTCTATGATATGTTCTTTTCTTTGTGAATTGACTACGCTTGATAGCAAATGTTTTCTGAATTCATTAATGTTTTCTTTAAATATTATGAGTTAACAATGAGTGTATTTGTGTTTACTTTGGCAGTAAAAAAAGAGGAGGAGGATTTTGAAGAAAAGAAATCCATTAAGAAACGAATCAAAGAATTAAAAGTTTTGGACCCAAAGATTGCACAGAATCTGTGTAAGTAGGTTCTGTTTTTATGACAAAGTAATGTTGTATAAATGTTCCATAAAAATGTCTTTCTCTCTTGTCTGACTGCCTCATAACCACTTTTTGTTTAAAACGTGAGAATATGTGAATATGTGCAGTAATTGATGTTAAGCCCAAACATGTGAGTTGATACAACTGAAACACATTTAAAAAGACCCAGAAAACAGTTAAAGGTTATCCCTTGTTTAAGACTGAAATTATTCTCTCTTGTCTATATTGAAGTACAAGCATACAGCTAAGTATCTAATTATCTATCTATATTTTCAACATCATTCATCAAGGCATACTGCCTGCCCCCCCTGCCCAGCAAAAAAGACAATAATGCCTAGAAGATGTCTGGTCATCTCTCATGTACTTTATAGAAAGAAGGCAATACTTAGTATTATGCAATAATATGCAAATAAAGATGATAAAGTTTTGGCGGAGAGGAGTTTTATAAATCACAGAATCATAGAATCATTTAGGTTAGAAAGGACCTTTAAGATCATCAAGTCCAACTATTAACCTAGCATTGCAAAGTCCACCACTAAACCATGTCCCTAAGCACCACATCTACACATCTTTTAAATGTGTAGGGATTCCAGGGATGGTGACTCCACCACTTCCCTGGGCAGCCTGTTCCAATGCTTGACAACTCTTTCAGTCAAGAAAGTTTTCCTAAGATCCAATCTAAACCTCCCCTGGTGCAACTTGAGGCCATTTCCTCTC